GTGTGTAGTATACAGACATGCAGTTTTTCAAACTTTGTTTTTTTTTTGTTTGTTTTAGGAGACTATCTTCACTTGGACATGATGTGTGAAGTTTGTTAGTCAGCGTTTTTTCGTGGTTGGTTTTTTTTTTTTTTTTTACAGTTACTGTGGAAGGTATGTATGAGAAAAGTAAATCCTACTCTTTCTGTGTTCATTTTTACTAGAGCATATTGCTGTCAATGTACAGAGGCCAAATACAAACAGGGAACTCCTTGAGAGAGTCCAGCGCAAGGCCGCAAAGATGATTAAGGGGGTGGAATATCTCCCTTATGATGAAAGGCTGAGGGAGCTGGGTCTCTTTAGCTTGGAGAAGAGGAGACTGAGGGGTGACCTCATCAGTGTTTATAAATACGTAAAGGGTGAGTGTCAGGAGGATGGAGCTGGGCTCTTCTCGGTGATGGCCAATGACAGGATAAGGGACAATGGGTGCAAGCGGGAGCACAGGAGGTTCCACATAAACATAAGGAAAAGCTTTTTCACTATGAGGGTGGTAGAGCACTGGAACGGGCTGCCCAGAGATGTTGTGGAGTCTCCTTCCTTGGAGACTTTCAAAACCCATCTGGACGCGTTCCTGTGTGACCTACTCTAGGTGGTCCTGCTCTGGCAGCGGGGTTGGACTAGGTGATCTTTCGAGGTCCCTTCTGACCCCTAACATTCTGTGATTCTGTGAAATGTGTGGAATTGTATTTAGTTACAAGTTCATGGATAACGGTACTTGTCAATAAGTGGGATAATGTGTCTGTCTAAAACTTCTCAAAATAGCAGTTACTAGCTATCTTTGCATTCTATGTGAAGTTTTAAAGCTTTTAATTCTGTCCTCAAACTTAGTATGTAAGTTTCAATAAGGTTCTATTTTTCTGCTGAACAATATTTTAGTATTACTGCTTTGTAATTTTTTTTTTGTCAACTGCTGGCTTGAATGAAGGCGCATCGTGCTGCATGATGAAGACTTCGTAGTTGCTTTCTTGTTAAGCGTTTTTTCTTGTTGTGGAAGAACCAAGCAAAGGGCTATATTAGGCACCCAGAAATGTTAAACTTTGTAGTCAGATGAGAAAGTAATAGCTGCTATTACTGTAGCATAGAAGAAACTTCAAGATATAAGTATGGTCTCTTTAATTAGAATTTTAAAATCTGCTTGTAGGTAGAAAAGAAATAGTGCAACATGTACTTGTATTCTGAATAACTTTGTATATAACCTCTTACCTAAGAAGTACTAGATACTCTGTCATCCTTTACTTCTTTTGTGCTGAGGGATCTTAAAGCGAGGGATTTGTACAAGCCTAATGTAGACAAGTTGAGTACAGTATTAAGCAGCTACAGAATATGTGGAGTATCTGCGCTATATGCTATATCGTGGTGAGAAGAGAAGAGCTAGGGATGCGAGGATCTGATGTAGGGATGTCAAATTGATCATAAAATCATAGAACCATAGGATGGTTTGGGTTGGAAAGGACCTTAAAGACCATCCAGTTCCCACCCCCCTGCCATGGGCAGGGACACCTTCCACCAGACCAGGTTGCTCCAAGCCCCATCCAGCCTGGCCTTGAGCACTGCCAGGGAGGGGCAGCCACAGCTTCTCTGGGCAACCTGTGCCACTGCCTCACCTCCCTCACAGTAAAGAACTTTTTTCCTAATATCTAATGTAAATCTCCCCTCTTTCAGTTTGAAACCATTACCCCTTGTCCTGTTACTTCACTCCCTGATCAAGAGTCCCTCCCCAGCCTTGTAGGCTCCCCTCAGGTACTGGAAGGCCTCTATAAGGTCTCCCCGGAGCCTTCTCTTCTCCAGGCTGAACAACCCCAACTCTGTCATCCTGTCCTCATAGGAGAGGTGCTTCAGCCCCCTGACCATCTTCTTCAGGCTTCCTTCCTGTCTCTAGCTACCTCTCCCCCTCCTAACCTGCAGCACATAACTGGTGGAAGGCTGGAGTGGTTTCCATTTCTGGTGTACCTCACCACTGTTCTTGTGTCATGCTGTAGCCTGACAAGGAATGAAATTTATTCCCTATAGCTCCTTTGGAACTCTTTTATGGCCAGCTTCCATTTTTGCTGCATGTTACACAAACACATAAGCAATTTGTAGGCTATATATATAAAACTTAATCTAATGGCTTGGAGGCTATTAGTCATAATAAAATGAAGGCAAAGTTCGTAGAGTATAATATGTGGTATATATTAGACCAATTAATAAAAATTAAAAAAACTTTTAAGTTTTCAAGCATGAAAACTTTTCTGTTAGCTTACTCAAGTTTAAGATAATACCCCTATTTATTCTCTCTTCGAGAGCAAATGTTTCTTTTTTATTCCATATCACATAAAAACTGCTCTTCCATGTTGAGTCTTTCATAACTTTGTCCCTCCCTACTTACAGACTTCTGCTTTCTTTTCTCAATCCCACCATTTTATCAGAAAAGCAGAATAATTATCCAGAACCGATGCCCACACATGGAATATATCAGCATAGATCTGGTGGTGTAATTATACTTCAGGAACTCTGCCTGTTGAGCTTTCTTCGGAAAGAAGCCCTTTGAGAAACGGAGGAAAAAGTCACAAGATTTGAAAACTGCAGAGGCTGTATTGCAAAGGAGAGTCATGAGTCAAAGGCAGGAAACGGTGTAGTGATCTCAAATGCACTTGTGCGTATCTAGGCGTTTAAATCCTTAGTCTCAGGAATAGGCTGGTCTGGAAAAAAGTGTAGCTTCCTCACTGAAGATACTGTGGCACTGTCTCTCTCAGAAATATTTGGTAAATAATGGAAAGGCAGTAAGTGTTTGTATGTTGACATGTGTGGGAAAACCAGTGTAATTTAAATTCACTGAACTGTACTAGCAAAGTAGATCACCTCTACTTACTGGAAGAGTCAGGAGCCACTCCATAAAGGTGAATTAGATTTCTGTTCCTTGAGGAGTTCTCAAAGATAGCGAGTGTTTGAGTTTATGATGATAAATAGCAAAGTATGTTATGTAATCTGTAGCAAATTAACTCTTAATAAATTGGTTCTTAAAATATATATATAAGTAAGTTAATGTTAATCATAGAACTACCATATACATCTCTTACTGAGGTTTATTAGAGAGCGTGTGAACGAGTCTAGTACAAGTAGACCGGTGAATGAGTCATCAGTCTCTGTCACTTGCATTTGAAGCTTTTTAATGATAAAACTGAAGGTTTTCCTAAATTTAAGTCTTTTAATGGGCAGTTGTAAAGCTGTATCACAAATTTGAATCCCCTTCTAATAGCGCTAATAGATAAAACAACACGTGGTTCTGGTGTGCTCATGATTAGCACTTGTTTGGAGTAGGTCCAGTGGACCTTGTAATTTTTTTGAGTTAAAACACAAGCAACAGTTTTAAAAGCTTGTTTCCCTTGCTTTTCTTTTGAAAAGTACTTCGGTGATCTCTTAACGTAACTTTAGTGTTTTTAGTAATGTTAAAACTTAGTTTTAGTGCAAGTTGTGCAAAGTCGCCCTCTAAAGTCCCAATGTACCACTTTTCTGGCCAACTCAAACCATATCAGTTCTGTTCTCTTGTGTTTACTCTGTGCTTCGAATAAAGCAGAAGTACTCTGTCTGCTGAAGGAAAAGGAAAGAAGGTTGGTCATGATCTGTTTACGTGCTGCTGTAGAGCTCATCTCCTGCATAAATGTTGATGTTTTAACTGCAAATAGTCGTCTTCTAATACACATTTTTGCAGCTCAAGCCATATATTCAGAACTCGGTGGAGTGGTATACTCTAACTCTTCCAGTATGTAAAAGCAGTTGGCTGTAAGCATTTAAACCCAGCTGGGCTTTTCTGATACTTCACTAGAATTGCTTAAATTGGCACCTTTCTATTACTACCTTGAACAAAGACTTCTAGGAGCTGTGAGGTGTGTATAGGAAAAAGAAAATTGGTTTGTGTGTGTCAAAATGCGAACTTGTTCATGCTGTAATTTTTAGCAAGCCTGCATGACTTTTGTACTAGATGACAAGCTTAAAGCTATTTTACTGCTGTAGTTTTGATTTCTCAGAATATGAAGTGTTCTTAATTGGTTATTCTGAGGCACAGTCAAAATAATTATCAATGTTTGGGGGGTTTCTAATGGGCAAAGCTTTCTGTTGTATATAGTCTTTGCTTACACTTAGTTTGATAGGTTTTCTCTAGAATTGGTGCACGCCTGTATTTCATAAATTGTCAAATAGATATCTGACTTCTTTGAGTTCAAGTGCATGTGTAATCTAATTTTGTAAGTTTACAATTAAATATTATTTGGATTTTTTTTCCTTGGATCAGTATGCTTTGAGGGATCATAATTTAACCAAATGAGTTGCAATGTCTTTGGAAATGTTTGTTGAATACTTAAGTTTAAACATGTTTCTGACTGCCTTTAGTAGAATTGTAATTGACACAGCACATGAAACTGTTTTCTACTCTGTCAGCTTAGAGTATCTGAATTTACCAAAATGTAGTGGTTTCAAATTTTGCAGCATTCGTAGTATAGAAATTCCAAAAAGGCAATGTATTTTTTACCTACTTTTGCTTACTTCGGTAGTGGAATAGTTGATTAAATTCTTGAAAAGTTGGGATTTACTTTCTAATTGCGCCTAATGTCTCTGAAAATCTCCTGCCAGATCTGTTGAAGATCTGCTTTTTAACAGCATGTGTTTCTTGACATAGTGGGTTCATTTTATGTATATATGAAACACTTCATAGAATCACAGGATGGTTTGGGGTGGAAGGGACCTTAAAGATCATCTAGTACCAACCCCCCTGCTACGGGCAGGGACACCTTCCACCAGACCAGGTTGCTCCCAGCCCCATCCAGCCTGGCCTTGAACACTGCCAGGGAGGGGCAGCCACAGCTTCTCTGGGCAACCACTTGCACACACTGGTGTTTTTTTTTGTTTGTTTGTTTGTTTGGTTTTTTTTGGTTGCTGTTTTTAATCTTTTGGGTTTTATTCCTTTATCAATCTTGAATAGGTTACAAATGGTGTGGGTTTTTATCATGAATCGAATGAGCTCCCAGAGCAATTCATCCACTCAGCGTAGGCGAATGGCTCTAGGAATTGTCATTCTTCTCCTCGTTGACGTGATATGGGTTGCCTCTTCAGAACTCACTTCTGTAAGTATTGTTCTATGCATCTTAAAAGGCAAATAAAAGCCTATTGAAGAGAATGATGCTGCAGAAACATGGTTGCTCAAACACCAAGGGAGTGTTCTAGTGTAATGTTTCACCACCTTTTCAGTATGGGGAAGACGGTATCCTTTGGATTAGTGAACTAACCTGTATCTGCTAAAGGTTACAAGCAATCTGAACTTGGTGACTGTTGCTTTGAAGACAGAAGGTGTTATTGATGATTTTAAAATTAAACAACATAAGCTCATAACTGTGTACTGTAATTAGGGAGCTCATTTTGTTTATTGCCATATTGATTGAAATAATGCCTATGTGTTTCCCAAGAAGTAGTAAATGAGCTGTAACATAGCAGGCTAGGTGATACAGTAGATTATAGTTCAGAACATCTGGAAGTCTAGGACCAAAGGGCTCGGGCTGTGGAGGTTTAGCCTTGTAATTGCAGACAAGTTTGTCATAGTCTGTCATATATTCACCTTCTTGAAACTGATTGGGTATTTACTTCTTATTAATTTTTAGGACTTAAACCAGAACTTCAGCAGTGGAAACTGCGTTTCTAATAAATTCTTGTCAAATTCAGGTTTCTGAACTGTCATTAACTTATGTTCTATTTCAGTTTTGAAACTAAGCATATAAAAATGTACTTAACATGCTATTATATTAATAAAACATTTTTTTCAGTGAGCTGGTGGAATCATTATTGATGCTGAAATGTTACTTAATCAAAGTAATCTCTAATTTGTGATTACTATGCTATTGCTTATGAAAGTGGTCTTTCATTTAGAAAATACATATGTAAATGTATTTTCAGTCCTATTTGAGTTCAATGTGTGGCTGGTTAGATACAAGTAATAAGTAGCTTTTCTCCGTTGGCATTGTATCTTACAAAACAGCTCAGTGCCTTCTTGGCATTTAAGATGGCTTGGAAGAGGGTACCCCCAGAATAGGTAGGGCCACTTGTGTCGTTTGGTCACACATGCCAGTGCTCATGACAGTGTAATTTTGGCAATGGGGCTGTTGTGGACTGTGTACTTAAACCTGTTCATTGATTTTTGTGAATTCTCACCTAATTGGTAATTTTGGATACTGCAATTATTTTCTTTCCACAGTATGTTTTTACAAAGTACAACAAACCTTTTTTCAGTACATTTGCAAAAACGTCCATGTTTGTTCTATACCTCTTGGGATTTATTGTTTGGAAACCATGGAGGCAACAGTGTACTCGTGGGTTTCGTGGAAGGCATGCAGCTTTTGTAAGTATTTTAACTCTGTAAATGTTTTTATATTTGTACAGAAAAAACTTAAAATAGGGAATGGAGAAAAGCAAAATTTGCATACTTGTGAAATAGTGCTTTCAGAAAAGCAATTATAAACTGAATCACAGCGCAGGAAGACGTGGCAATAATAATAATAGGCTTGTGGGAGGAAGAAAAGAAAGGAAAAAGCAATATGAAGTGTTTCAGGAATCATAAGAAATGCTCTACTGAGCTAGACCATTGGTCCACCTAGTCTGGTGTTTTATCTGGAACAGTTGCAGAGGATAATTCCTTTTAAGAAGAGCTTAGGAGCCTCACCACTGTTGGCTGTTGATTACATTTTGCTTCCCCAGCATCTGTAACCAATGGAATCAGTATTTGAAGTTTGTAGTTGATTTTTATCACTCTTTTTGTCTCTGGCAGAGCTATGAACTGTTTGCTAAGATGTTTTGAGGTTTTTAAAGTTATGTTTAGGAAAGGTGGTAGAATTCTGTTTTTGTTGTTGTTAATACTGTATTTTTATAGCCTTTATGCACAAGTGACCTTCTGTTGCTCATTCTAGAACTAGGCATAGTTTGTACTGGAGGCTAAAATTATTGTCATGTTACAGAAATACATACTTTTTTCTGAGGAAATTAAGAGATGCTGGAAGGGTGTTTGTTCTGTGCCAGTGTTCCAGAATGCTGAACAGCAGGACTCGGGAAGCAGTAAGGCATTTGGCCTGAGATTAATCTTAAATCAAAATAACAGAAAATGTGATCCAAGAACATGGTGTTAATCAACATGTCTTTATAGGAAATAGCTTGTGTGAAAGGAACTGACTTCAGTTCTTCTGGATATATTAGACTTCACTGATGGTGACAGCTGTAGGCGTAACGTACTTAAATTGAAGTGTTACATGACATTAAGCCAAATTATTTTTATTTTTAAAAACCCCAAAAACTAAGCTTTTTTTTTTTAAATCTTGTGTTAAACACATAGAACATTTAGAGTTGGCTAATATCTTGAAATAATTTTTGCTAGATCAGCCTTTAATACCAAGTGTCTGTGCATTGTATGCCACATGTTAGACTTGATGCTGTTCAGGATCTTCATAATTGGGAAATAAAAAGAATTTACAGATTCTTTACTGGCAATAATGACAAATAAGGAAGATGAAGGTGCTAAAGGATGATTAATTGTATGGAGCAATTATACTGACTAAATTTATTGATCTGAGTGGATAAGTAGAATAAGGGGCTATGGCCTAGTGCGAATCGTAGTGGTTATATTGACCAACTGAATCTCGGGCAGTGCTGTGTCAAAGAAAGGAATATTATGAGCTCATATGAACTTGACAGCAACGAGTGCTCAGCCTGTCACATTTTGTGTGTGGCACTCATGGCACCACTGCTGGAATCTAATTTTTTCTTTCTAATCCTATGAAAAGTAATTTTAAAATGATTTGTAGGAAATAGTCATCACTTTTGATGCTAGCATGTATCAAAAGAGCAATGCACAGACGGGACTGTAGTGTGCAGTTAGAAGATTTTTTTATTGTTTGTTTTTTCCCCTGGGGAGTTTAGTTAAATATTCAACTGAATGATTATTACAAGTGCCTTTAAAATGTCTGGTGTCTATTCATCTGGAACAAAAATTACACATTTATAGATTTTTATTTCAATCATTGCTTCGTAAACATACATACCTTACTTTTAAGCCCTCTTCCACATTAGAGGCTTTGTTTAATGGATTTCTTGCCAGTGTGGTAGAACAGCAAGCTGCAGGTCAGGGAACAGGGGTAGTAGTGCTTGTTAAGATGCAGAAAAGAAGAAAAATTATATTTGACCTCATCCTAATTTGTCTTGTTAAAACTAAGGCAGAGTTCCAGGTTTTTATGCAAGAGAACTTTGCCTCAATAAAATGAAGAAACAAGAGGCTTGTTGTTAATACATGCATAATAATTTAGTGAAGCATGTCTTGCTAGGACTGAACTTTACAGCTTTTGGCGTTCTAACAGCCTGATCCTGCGTTGATGCCTGGGTAGTTGAATTCAGTGGTATTCCCCAAGAGGTACAAGGAATTTCTGAAATTGTTTAGTGAACTTATAAGATGTCTTGTTTATCGGGGAGGAGGGCTGGAGGGAGAGAGGATATTGTGATAAAAATATGGGAAAAGGCATTAAAACTTATTCTCAAGAAATTCAGTTATTAATAACTATGTCTTGATAGATTATTACATTTAAGTTTCTGTAATTAGTTTGCAGATGCTGAAGGTTATTTTGCTGCTTGTACAACAGATAACACTGTAAACAGTTCTCTGGTAAGTGCCTTAATTTGTGAAGGTCAATGCATTACAGCAACATGACACCGTTATCCTGACTTGCTGTTTTTAAAATATGGCCATCTTAAATGTAATAGTTTTCAGCAAAGGGGATCTGTAACTTATATGTTACTAGTAAGTGCTGCAAATAATTGCTTATTATGAGAAATAACAGGTTCTCGGCTCAGTAAAACACTTGAATGTTTCTGTTGTAGTTTGTGAAAGGAATATTTATGTCGTGCAAAGTAAACCTTTACGTAGTCAGCTCAGTAGCTGCCAAAGCAAAATGTGGAAAGCTAACGGTAAAGCCACACAGTTTTCGAGACAAAAATCCACAACAGAATTGTTTAGTTAGTTGAGTATCTTGTGTGCTGTGGTCCTGCATTGCATTTTGAAAGAGACCTGGACTGCCTTCTTCCTTCCAGTGGACGGAGTGACTACTGCATCAAATGCCAGGACAATGTTCTGATAAGCTGCACTGTCAGGTGGCATTTTTGTGGTGATTTTCATCATCCATAAATGCTGGTTTGTTATGCCCCTGTTGATCATAGATTGCTGCTTAATCTGCATGCCTAAATCAGGGGCCACATGCAGAAATGTATCCAAAACAGAACTTCTAAGTTTGCACCGTCTCTGTAATAGAGATGGGGGAGGCAGTTACATCCACAAAAATTCTGGTCCTAAACAAGGAGCCTAATGAAAATGCTGGTGCCAGATCTTTTTCATTACTTCACTCTTACAGTTTATTAATTTAATTTTAAACAAGCAGCTTAAAACTTGTCTTGTTCAAAGTATTTTAAGCAATTAAAACTTCTGCTAAGTGTTTTGGAGTTCCTTTCTCAAAGTTTTTTTGACTTTTAGTTCTAGTTCATGAGCTTTTAGGGTCATGGGAGGAAAATGAGTATGTATTCGTTTTTGTATATGTACTCTTATGACTCTAGTTTATCATTTGGACAGAAATTATAGATCTAATGAAATGTCTGTGACTTTGATGAGTTATTTTTTAATTTTAAATCAGTAGGTTTGAATTTTCTGGAGATGAATTCTGTGTTCATGAGGATATACACAAAAGCGCACAGTTATTTTTTTAGTACTGTGTTTTACCAGTATATTTAACATAAAATACAGATTATGTATGAACATTTTTGACAAGCCTATCCATTGTGTGCAAAACCACTTGTTAAACTTGATTCTCTTAATATTCACCAAGCTTTTCTTTATTTAGTTTTCTAATTCTCTAAATTAATTCTACTGCTTATAATTTAAATATCCTGCTTAACTGTATTTTTACTTATACTGATTCATTTCAGAGTGAACCTTTATATGTTCCTGTAAAGTTTCATGATTTGCCAACTGAAAAAAATGGCAGTAATAATAGTGATGCAGAGAAAAGTGAGTAAAGACTTTTGGAATGCTGAAATGCTAGTTCTTTGGTGAAGGAATTACTTTCCTCATTGTGGTATAACTGCTGTCATGTTGCAGGACTTGCTTCTTCCCGCCCGCCTCTTTTTTTTTTTCTTTTTTTTTTTTTCCCCACTTCCTTAAATCTCTTATTGCATGAATTGCAATCTCATATATTTACTTTCAGGTAGAGAAAACATAGGTCTGTTGTTCAGTTTACCTTTCTTGGTCACTACAGATCCAGCCTATGTTTATCTCAAGGGACCAACTGGGTTCAGTACTTGTGATTCTTTCCTTCTGGGCTTGTATGACCAGCAGCAGTGAGTCAGCCTCTGGAAAGACAAGCTATTGTCCTTTTTAGAGCAGGAGCAAAGCAGTCAAAGTAAGAATTTTAACAGTCTATGTGCATTCTGATTTTATTTAAGCCTCACTATCTTGTGATAGTAGCTGAAACAGGCCTAACTGTCCCAGAGAATTAGAGAAAAGTTGGCTGTCAAAGAATCCAGTTATCTGATCCTCAGCAAGAGTCCCTGCTTATAAAAATGAAAGTCTCTTTGTTAATTTCTAGATGACAGATGTTAAGAACCGCTTTGGTAGGCTCTGCTGTCCTGTGATAACATGCATCAATCACTTCAGGGTTGTTTGAGCTGTAGCTTTTCCCTTTACTTTTTTTTTTTTTCTTTTTAGGAAATTAGGTATTGTTTCATATTGACTTAAGCTAATATTTATAATGTAGGGTGTAATGTTTTTATAAATAAAATCTGATCCTGGTTTGCAAGCTTAGTTAGAGGGTGGATTTCAAATAAGCAAGTGACCTTATGATCTCTGCTAAGCTTTGAGGTCTGTTGGACACTCTCATCCTCTGAATGAAACACTGTCCTTTCAGTTAGAGTTGTATGCAGTTTTTGGCTCTTTGACTATTAAACAATTACAGCAGATCTTTTATGTAATATTTATTGATACAGACTAATTCCTACCTAAAAATTTGTTGTTACCTTGTGTGGATTTTTTTGACAGTGAGGAGGGATGGGGCTTTTCAGTGAGGTTTTTGTGGGTGGACAACTGTACTGATTGAAAATGATAATTGTGCTTTTCTTATTAGTGGCCTATCAAATAGCAAAATACTAGTTTAATAAATAAAAATAATGCTGTGCCTTCTATTTGGATAAAACTGTTATTTGTGAAGTATTGTATTCAATGCTGTATTAGAACATCATGGTTTTATTTGCATATTGTTTTGCTTTAAAAGTTTAATGATAATATGCAGCCGCTTTTTTTTTTTTTCCTTTTTTTTCCTCAAGCTCCCAAAAAGCCTCGTGTCAGGTTCAGTAATATTATGGAGATTCGACAGCTCCCGTCGAGCCATGCATTGGAAGCAAAGTTGTCTCGCATGTCGTATCCAACGGTTAAGGAGCAGGAATCAATATTGAAAACTGTGGGAAAACTCACTGCAACTCAAGTAGCAAAAATTAGCTTTTTCTTTTGCTTTGTGGTATGTGCTCCATTCTTTCAGAAAACTTAAATATAGATGCAATTAGAGCTTGTATAATGATAGTGAAGCAGTATTGGGTTGACTTGTATTCTTTGTGCCTCATTTTATAAATATAGTGTAAGAAGTAAAACTTTCCTCATGTGCTGGACATGGAGGTGCAGCTTCTTAAAGGGAGGGTACTAAAACCAGATCCTGGTGTGTAGTTAACTGTCAGGTCAGCTGTAAGGTATGCCATGCTTTTGTGCCCTGATGTCCAGTGGTGGGTGTGTTTGGTACAGCAAAACCTGGGGTGACGTGTGCAGGCTGCTAGAGCTGCAGTGAGACTGTGTGGAATGGGTAGATGTCACTATGACTTCTTTCTGGGCCATCACAGGAGGAATACCATCTTAGGCCTCACTGTGGCATTGTGCCCTCCAGTAGTACAAACAGAAGAGAGTTAATTGTGAAGAGAAGAGAGTTAATTGTCCTTCAGCTCCGTTGAGGGCTGCAAGATGTACTTATGAATGTGTTGGTTGCTGGTGTGCTGGTGTTTCTGCATCATGCCTTAGCTCTAGGGGGAGAGAGAGATAACAGTGGCATGATTTTTGAGAGGCAGTAAAAATGTAGAGAGCAGATCAGTGATAGGTTTCCCAGAAGTATCTTCACTGATACTGCTGAATAGTTTTTATGTAATTTGGACCCACCACAGCTTTTCCTCAGGAAGTAGTGCTCTTGAAACATTTAAAATAATCATAAAAAAATATTAGTACTGTTGATGCATGGACCAGAAAATGGTGATGTTGTCTATGCGTATACATAAAGAACATGCACACAGCAGCAAGAGGATAATAAGCTACTCATTAGTGATTTTGGATGTATGAAATAGCTTTTTAAAAAATTATTTAAAATTCTGTGTGTCTGAGTATATTTTTATGTGTATATATATATACGCGTGGATTTTCTAGGGTAGAGTTGTTGTGTTCAAAACAAATCCTGTTTATGGATGCGCTACTGCTGGCATATATACGTATTTCATCTTGGACTGTATAATCATTTCCACCTAAGACTTTAGAGAGTGGTAACGTCCCTGAGGATGTATTGGAGATCTTATTAATGAGATCTGAATCACGAAATGATAAAACATTTGCCATTTATTCCTTTATGGAGGAATTAACAGACATGAATCCTTCCAAAATATTTTTGAGGTACTGAATGTAAGTGATGCTTGTTTTTTAGGGTGGAGATGTGTGCCAGTTTTAAGTACTCTTAAAAAAAAAAAACCTCATTAGGACAACTAATGTCCCATGTATCTCTTGAAATTTCTTTGCAGCCCTTGTGCAGTTGTCATCTCGAAGCTCTTGCAAAACAAGTTAAAAGTACCTTTAGTTTCTATAGATTAGCCATTATAATATCGTTTTAATTCTCTTTAAGTTCTGAATTATGTTATTTAATTTATTAAACACGTAGTTGAATCTGGTTGGTATGGATCAGTTCTGATTTTGCCTCTGGCTTTTGTTGTACCTGCCACTTTAATAGGAGTTAGAAATCTATTTGAGGTAAAAGTCTTGTTCTGGTTTTATTTTTGGATAAATAGTTGGGGTTTTTTTTGCACTGAGAAACTTAAACTCTGTTGTTGCTATCCATATAATTACAAAATTATTTTTCTTTTCCCCTAGTGGTTCTTGGCAAATTTTTCTTATCAAGAAGCTTTGTCAGATACCCAAGTTGCCATAGTTAATATCTTGTCGTCAACCTCTGGTGAGTTTTATTAACGAGGCTAGATGTGCCTTATAAGGCTGTTTATAACATTAAAATCTTTTTGGTTACAATGGACTTGTGTAATGATTTACATGTCGTTTGGGGGGAATAGTAAGGCTCAAAACCTTTGAATATACGCATTTAAAAATGTCATTATATAATTGCAGGGGTTTAGGCTATCTTCATGATTCCCCTGCTTTTTGCTTTTCAGGTTCGTGTTACGTCTGTGTATTAGCGAGACATATTGAGAGTGTAATAGGTTTGAAGGAAAGGTAGTATAACTTTTTATCAGAATAGATACAATTCAGAGTAAAGTCGTCCTGCTAATTATTGAGTTTTTAGGGGGTTTTAGGGGTAAAGAACTTAAACCACCTAATATTGTGCATATCACTTGCTTTACAGGTTTTATGTAAAGCTCTAATATGAGCTTTAAAGTATTTAAATTATGTGACAGTCCATGTTTTGAGGAGTAACTTTTGTTGTTTTATAAAATCAGTTTTAAAAGCACAATAACGTGATTTTTTGCTGGCTCTTCAGGCTTATTGCAGTTTACTTTGTCAGTATAGCTGGCTTATCTCAGAGTTGAGCATGTATTTGCTCAGCTGAGGATTCACATCACAAGGTGTTAGTTTCATAATAGTTCTGATTAAAATTAGGGATGCTAAGATCAAGTAGTTGAAACAAGTATGTGAAATGCAAATAATAAAATGTCTGTGCATTTTTCTGAACAAAGTAGTAGCAGAACTTGATTGTGTAAACTCTTCTTAATTTCTCTTGCAGGGCTTTTTACTTTAATCTTAGCTGCAGTCTTTCCCAGTAACAGTGGAGATAGGTTTACCCTGTCCAAATTATTGGCTGTTATTTTAAGGTAAGATAATGGAATGGAACATTTGGTCAAAAACTCCGTGATACAGTGAGAGGACAACCATACCTACTGTACCTATGGTATCTGACAATATATGACATGCTTCACTTTTTAAAAAATCCTTGTTTCACAGGTAAATTGAGCAAGTGAACTAAGTCTTTTTAAATACATCATGAATAATTACCAAATCTCATGCTGTTGTAGGAAATTAGTTTAATAGGTTTCTGTTGGAAATATGTGAACTTATTTTCTTGTTGTTTAATTATGGTTTCTTTACTTTCGTGTAGATGGGAAAAAGGAAGAGGCTTGACATTCAATGTTGTCAGCCTGTTTCATTAAATGCCTGGTGCATTGTTCAGGGAAGTTAAATGTGAGGTTTGTTTGGTTTTAGCTTTGGATCAGCCCTTAGCAATAGAGAACTCCTTTTGGCTTTTCCAAAAGTAGGTTTTGATTAATTTTTTCTACCTAAAGATAGAACTGTATTTTTGTATTTTTCTCCCCCTTTTTTTCTGTCTCTGTAAAAAAAGTTCTTGGGTTTATGTACCATTTTGCATTTCTTCTCTTTTGCTAGCATTGGTGGTGTGGTACTTGTTAACCTTTCTGGATCTGAGAAATCTTCTGGAAAAGATACGATAGGTATTTTCTTTTTTTTTTTTTTTTTAATCCTAGAATAAGCAATGATAAGTACCATCTCAGTAGGTCATATAGCCAGCTATGTGTGTAACATTTCACAATCTGGCTTTTTAGTTTAAACTTCTGATGATTTTTTTCCCCTGTGTATATAGCTTAATTGGGAAAGTATTTATATTTTCAAGCTTTCTGCATTATTCCATGCTTTTCATGTAGTAATAAACAAGTTATCTCTGACAGTTTCATTATAAGTATATGTTTAGGAGAGTTGATCCTAATGTGCTTAACGTGTTTGGCGTGTCTTAAGGGAGTGTGTTTTTTCATCTTTACAGGTTCCCTTTGGTCTCTTGTAGGAGCAATGCTGTATGCTGTGTACATAGTGATGATAAAAAGGAAAGTAGATAGAGAAGATAAACTTGACATACCAATGTTCTTTGGTAAGATTGAAAATAACTCTATTCAAAGTTTTAATTCAGTGTATGATTAAATTGTTTGCTTTCAGGCACTGACCTGTATATGAGTGGTAAAGGGAAAAGCCAAGGAAGTAGAGAAAGCCTCTTGTTCCCATGGTTGTGAGTACTTTAGAGGCTGGTTGTGATGGAAAGCAGCTTTGCGGAGAAGGACCTGGGAGTCCTGGTGGACAGCAAGTTCACCATGAGCCAGCAATGTGCCCTGTGGCCAAGAAGGCCAATGGTATCCTCCGTGCATTAAGAAGAGTGTGGCCAGCAGGGCGAGGGAGGTTCTCTGTGGCCCTGGTGAGGCCACATCTGGAGTATGGTGTCCAGTTCTGGGCGCCCCAGTTCAAGAG